AATTTCCCAAATGATTATGAGGTTAAAAAAGAAACATACATACAGCTTTCCTTCTTCCTTCCTTTTTCCTTTGTGTGTGGTAGTAAGAAATGGCACATGTGAAAGACTAAGATGTTACAGAATGCTCTCAGCTTGTTATCTTTGGGTTCTCAGTTCCATTTCTTTGTAAGTCATGACTGAATTAGGCAGGAAGGCTGGGGAAGACACCAGAATCTGCATCCCACTGACTCTCCTGTGAACCTTGGCTGGTAAGCCAGCTGGGGCCACTAGGAAACGGTTTCCCTGTCCCTAGTGTTCCCACTATCTCCCTGAGCAGGTGAGGGGCAGGAAGCTGCAGGCTGGAGCGCCCTACAGTGATGTCTTCTGGAGAGGAGGATGGAGGAGGAAGGTGGGAGAGGTGCCACCAGCAAAAGGCCGGAGGCCTCCACAGGGGTGGTGAGAGGCTGGCACTGGTGACAGGCAAGAGACAGTGGCCACGCCGCAGAGGGCAGCAGAGTCTGCTCAGACCGACACCGGCCAAGCCCTCCTTGGGGACACCACCCAGCATGGGGTCAAGCTGGAAGCTGGGCACCCCTCCTGCCCTCTGGGAGAGGCCTGGGTGCCCATCGTGCAGCTCACAGGAGCGAGGCACTTTGCCGACTGCAGGGGTGCGTGTTTGCATAAACGTGCTCTGTCCGCACACGCGGCCTGCACCTTCAGCAGGCCCGCTCCTCCTGAACAGAGAAATCAAGGCTATCTGATCACTGGAAAATGGAGCGTGGGACAAATGACTTTTTTCTCGATTAAACTCTTTGGTCTATGTAATTTCTTTGAGTTTAACATAGTATAAGAACTCACTCCAAACAGAAGAAAATAAATTTGGGCAAAAATTTAATTGCAGAACTGTTTACAGAAGTGAACATCAGCAGCACAAACTCAAGCAAGCGGGTTGCCAGAGAAGAGCCCGGGAGATGGAGAGCACGTTTTTCTTACGGTCTGCTGAGCGTGGGGAGAACCACCTCTTTTTTTTTTTTTTGTTTGTTTGTTTAATTTTTATTTATTTGTGTGTGTGTGTGTGTGTGTGTGTGTGTGTGGCCAGCTCAGCCCACCAGGGGGCAGGGCTGGCTGGCATGTGGTGCTGGG